GGTCTCCTGCCCCCCCGCTGCCTGCGTTCGGCCGCGGTGGTGTGGAGGGGGGGGGGGCCGGCGGGGGCCACGTCCCGCTCTCACAGCTGCCTGCGCCGCAGGAGCCTCCCCGGGGAAGCCTGAGTGTTTCTCTCACCGCTCGGCGCAAGGTTTGACCTTCGCTTCCTTCCTCCACCCACACGCCCTGGGCTTTCCAGCCGCCGGCCGGCATCCTCCGGCTTTTCCAGAGAGTTCAGATCCCTGGCTTTTCCAGAGAGTTCGGATCCCCGCCTTCAAATCTTTCCCCTTTCCACCTCCCTCCCGCCCCCCAGCCAGCGAGCACCGAGTTGGGGAGGGGGGAATGAAACACCTCAGAGAGATCGTTTCCCTACAGCGACGGGTAAAAATTAAAAATACCAAAACGCTGCGGGTTTCAAACACCCTCTGGAGGTTCGATGGGTGGTTTCTAACCCCTGGGGAGGGGGCGTCCTGGTGTTTGGGGGGTGTAAACTTCCACCTTGTAATAAACTTAACGATGTTCAGTAGGAGCGATCCCTAAATTTCACGTTCTCCCATGTGGGGGAGGGTTGGGGAGTCTCTGGAGTGGAGCTGTTGTTCTTGGAAAAGGGGGGGGCAGGGGTTTGCTCCCCCCTCCCGGGAGGGATGGGGTGCAGGGGGGGTGTTTTGGGGCTCCCCCGAAGCGGAGCTTTTCCTGCCCCTCAATCCTTTCCCCTTTGTCTCCTGAACAGGCCCCCCCCGTGGCTGGGTTTCGGCGAGAAGAGTGAAGGGAGATCCCAGGGGAGGAGGCAGCACCCGAGAGCGAGGAGGAGGAGGAGAAGAGGAAGGCTTTACTGGGCATTAGGCAAAGGAAAGGTTTAGTCTGCACAGCTCCAGACAGCGAAGGGGAAGATGATGTAGGACGTCGACCAGACGAGGCAATAGACGGAAGCCACCGTCGCCGGCAAGAAGAGGACGGCCACCACCCCTGCGGATGGGGAAAGGCCTTTGGCATCTGCTCCTTCCTCCTCCACCGCCCTCCCGGGGCGTTTAATTAACCCCCCCTCCTCCTCCCCTTGACTTTCTCCCCCGTCGTTACCTCCAGCGTAAACCAGTTTCTTCCAGAGCTGGGACTCCAGCACCTTGTCGTGAGGGTAGAGACCCCGGTCGACCATGAAGAGGACCATGACGATGGCGATGACGCGCAGCAGGGGGACGTTCCCCGCCGTCAGCAGGAAGGTGCTCACCAGCAGCGAGGAGGCGTAGGGACAGGGCAGCCCCCGGTAGGTGAAGGGGATCCCAGCTGGGTGCCAAGCGGTTCAGCCGGGGGGGTTGGAAATCACCCCCCCCAAAAGACACCCCCCACACCCCCAAAAACCACTCATCTTATCAATGCCTACAAGTATCTCAAGGGTGGGTTGAAGGAGGAGGGAGCCAGACTCTTTCCAGTGGTTCCCAGTGAGAGGACGAGGGGCAACGGGCACAAGTTGGAACAGAAGAGGTTCCACTCAAATATGAGGAGAAACTTCTTCACGGTGAGGGTGGCAGAGCCCTGGAACAGGCTGCCCAGGGAGGGTGTGGAGTCCCCTTCTCTGGAGATTTTCAAGCCCCGCCTGGATGCTCCTGAGTAACATGCTCTAGCTCTGGGCAATCCTGCTTCAGCAGGGGAGTTGGACTAGATGATCTCTATGGTCCCTTCCAACTCTAAAAAATTCAGTGAAATCTTACCACTGGAGAAGAAGCAGAGGCGAGCGAACACGGCCATCACGTAGGCGATGGCCAGCAGCCCGTCCAGCGCGCCCTGCGGCTGCAGCAGCAGCGCCGTGGCCAGCCCGAAGGTGGTGAAATCGGCGAAATCATCCAGTTTGGCACCTGCGGGCAGGGAACGGGGCAGCTGCCGGGTGGTTTTTGGTGAGGAGGGGGGGACAAGGAGAGGGAGAACCCCGGGGGGGCGGTGGGATGGACTCACCCAGCGCCGAGCAGGCGTCGAGCCGTCGGGCCACCGCTCCGTCGGCCAGATCGAGCAGAAAGCCCAGCAGCAGCAGCCAGCAGGAGTGGTGGTATTGCCTGGGGAGAGGGCAAAAAAACGGGGTGACACCCCCCCCCTCTTTGAAACCCTCCTTTTTTGCCCCATTTCCCCCCCCTTTTTTTTTTTTTTCCCACCTGTTGAGGCTGCAGAGGACGGAGGAGAGCCCGGCCACCAGGTTGGCCACCGAGAGCCCGTTGGCGGCGTTTTTCCGGATGAACTCCAGGGTCCGGCCCCGGCCCGTCCTCTCGCTCAGGAACAGCTTCTTGGAGCACTGGAAAATACCTGCAACCCGCCCGGGAGCCCGGTGAGAGGCAGAACCCACCCCCCCTTTCCAACAGGGGAGTTATTTCAACCCCTCCCCGAGGTACCAGGTTGGAGCCAGGGAGGGGGGGGTGGGAACGAAGCCCCACAGGCCCCCCCTTACCCCTTCCAGCGCCGGGAAGGGGCTGGAGGAGATTTTTTTTGGGGGTGGAGGGGGGTCCTGCCGCCGGCGGGAGCCTTGTTGGCCGTTCCCCTCCTCAAAGAGAAGCCCCCAAAAGCCTTTCAGCGAGCGGTGAGATTTTGGTTGGGTTTTGTTTTGGTTTTTTTTTATTTATTTTCGCCAGCCCTGCCTCTTATCTACCCACCGGAGGCGAAAAGAAAACCAAAGAAACAAGATAAAAGAACTGCCAAAAAAAATAAAAAAAAAAAAAAGAAAAAAAAAAAGAAAAAAAAAATAAATCCAAACCCAAACTTAGACTAAAAAGCCAACCCCGGTTTTTAAACTCTATTGATCTTATATACCTATAGGGCTAAGCTTTAGAGAAAGAGTTTAAGGGTCATGTCCTACTAGTGGGCTTTGCACCCTGCCTTTGCCGTGGTCCCAAAGCCAGGCAAGCTGGGGAGATCCTTCATCTGAAAGAAAACAGCACGTCAGAGCAAAACACGAGCCACCCCCTCCCCGAGCCACCCCCCCACCTTTACCCACTGAGCCCGGGCCAACTCATCACATCCCGGGGCCCAAACGCCGCCGCCCGAAGCAGCTCCCGGGGTGTAAAAGTGAAAACAAAAAGAAAAAAAAACCCGAAAACCACAAACCCTTGATGTGCGAGGAATTGGGAATGTGTTCCTGGCGTGGGGAGGACACGGGGGGAGAGCTGTGGGGCCGGTGGCTCCGCGCGCCGGCGCTGGGGACCTTTGGACACCGCGCCCCGAGCCGCCGGCGCGGGCTGAGCCCCACGGGGATGGAAAATCCCCCCTGATCCACCAGGACGGGGGCTCCACCGCCTCGGATTTTACTGGATCCGGTGGTTTTTTGGGGGGGGGTTGAACTCACACCTTGCACCATCCCCCATGTTTTGTTGGGGGAGGATTTGGGCTTTCCAAAGGCAAAAAGGGACAAAAAAATGGCTATTTTTGGGACTCACCATCCCCACCCTTCCCAGCGCCAGGCAGGATCAGGCCCCCGGGGAGGGTCACCGGGCACCCACCAGCATCACAATACCCAGACATCACCATGACGCCCAAACTTGCCTATTCTTGGCATTTCTAACCCCAAAAGCAAAGGGCTGGGGAGGGAGAGTTTCCTCACCCCCACACCACTGCCGGTGCTTCTTATTGCTATTTCTGGGGGGAAAAAAAGGGGAGTTTGGCTCTTCCTGGGTGACCCCCATGTACGTTGTGCCCCCCAGGGGGGTCTCACCCCCCCAGGACCAAGAGGAGAAGGGGGTTCAGCTGGAGGAGGTGCAGAATTAACCTGTTTTTCTGGGGCTGCTCTATTGTTTATATGCTTTTCCGCCCCAATTCTCAGGGCACTCAGCCCGTGGCTGCCCAGAAACCCTTCCTTTTCTTCCAAACCCCCCCAAAAAAGATGATTTTTTTGGAGGGGGGGTGGGGGAAGAGGGGTGGTAAAGACACCCTCGCGATGGGGTATTGGGGTGTCGAGGTGGCACTTACCGGCGGGCGGTGACACCGTCCACATGGCTGCGGGGGGTGACGGGGTGGGGGGGTGAGGGTGACACCCCGGCGAGGGGAAACTGAGGCAGGGCCGGCGGAGAGGGCCTTATATAAGGAAAAAGCTTCTCCGGCTGAGTCACGGCACCGGGGGTGGGTCCGGGCAGAGGACACGGGGGTTTTCGGAGGCGGCTGTCGCCGGCGGCGAGGGAGGAGCTGGCCCCGGGGGGGCCCCAGTAGCCGTGCCAGGCTCCTGGCACCCATGCCAACCCTCAGAGGCCCCGTGCCAGGCCTACAGCGCTCGTGCCAGGCTCACAGTGCTTGTGCCAAGCGTGGACCACTTGTGCCACGCTCGCAGCACCTTCGCCAGCCTCGCAGCACCCTTAGCAGGTTCTCAGCACCCATGGTGCCCTCACAGCACCCTGTGGTGGCACAGAGCAGCCATGTGGTGGCAGGTAGCACCCATGCCAGGCTTGTAGCACCCATGTGGTGGCTTGTAGCACCCTTGGCCAGGCTTGTAGCATCCATATCAGGCTTGTACCACACATGTGATGGCTTGTACCATCCTTGACCAGGCTTGTAGCACCTGTGTCAGGCTTGTAGCACCCATGTGGTGGTTTCTAGCACCCGTGTCAAGCTTGTAGTACCCATCACCAGGCTTGTAGCACCCATATGGTGGCTTGTAGCACCCTTGACCAGGCTTCTAGCACCCATGTGGTGGCTTGTAGCACCCTTGACCAGGCTTGTACCACCCTTGACCAGGCTTCTAGCACCCATGCCAGGCTTCTAGCACCCGTGTGGTGGCTTGTACCAGCCTTGACCAGGCTTGTAGCACCCATGTCAGGCTTGTAGCACCCATGTGGTGGCTTGTAGCACCCTTGACCAGGCTTGCAGCATCCATATCAGGCTTGTAGCACCCGTGTGCTGGCTTGTAGCACCCATGTCAGGCTTGTAGCACCCATGTGGTGGTTTCTAGCATCCGTGTCAAGCTTGTAGTACCCATCACCAGGCTTGTAGCACCCATCACTGGGCTTCTAGCACCCATATGGTGGCTTGTATCACCCTTGACCAGGCTTGTAGCACCCATGTGGTGGCTTGTAGCACCCTTGACCAGGCTTGTAGCACCTGTGTGTCAGGCTTGTAGCACCCATGTGATTGCTTGTAGCACCCACGTCAGGCTTGTACCACGCATGTGAGTGCTGGCTTGTAGCACCCATGTCAGGCTTGTAGCACCCATGTGGTGGTTTCTAGCATCCGTGTCAAGCTTGTAGTACCCATCACCAGGCTTGTAGCACCCATCACTGGGCTTCTAGCACCCATATGGTGGCTTGTATCACCCTTGACCAGGCTTGTAGCACCCATGTGGTGGTTTGTACCACCCTTGACCAGGCTTCTAGCACCCATGTGGCTTGTAGCCCCCATGACCAGGCTTGTAGCACCCTTGACCAGGCTTGTAGCACCCATGTGGTGGTTTCTAGCACCCGTGTCTAGCTTGTAGTACCCATCACCAGGCTTGTAGCACCCATGCCAGGCTTCTAGTACTGGTGTGGTGGCTTGTACCACCCCTGACCAGGCTTGTAGCAGCCATGTCAGGCTTGTAGCACCCATGTGGTGGCTTCTAGCACCCATGCCAGGCTTCTAGCACCCATGTGGTGGCTTGTAGCACCCATGACCAGGCTTGTAGCACCCATGTGACAGCTTGTAGCACCCGTGTCAGGCTTGTAGCACCCATGTGATGGCTTGTAGCAGCCATGTGGTGGCTTGTATCACCCCTGACCAGGCTTGTAGCACCCATGTGACAGCTTGTAGCACCCGTGTCAGGCTTGTAGCACCCATGTGGTGGTTTGTACCACCCTTGACCAGGCTTCTAGCACCCATGCCAGGCTTGTATCGCCTGTGTGCTGGCTTGTACCACCCTTGACCAGGCTTCTAGCACCCGTGTGACGGCTTGTAGCACCCGTGTCAGGCTTGTAGCACCCATGTGGTGGTTTGTAGCACCCATGACCAGGCTTGCACCACCCTTGTCCAGGCTTGTAGCACCCATGTGGTGGCTGGTAGCACCCGTGACAGGCTTGTAGCACCCATGACCAGGCTTGTACCACCCTTGTCCAGGCTTGTAGCACCCATGTGGTGGCCTGTAGCACCCATGACCAGGCTTGTACCACCCTTGTCCAGGCTTGTAGCACCCATGTGGTGGCCTGTAGCACCCATGACCAGGCTTGTACCACCCTTGTCCAGGCTTGTAGCACCCATGTGGTGGCCTGTAGCACCCATGACCAGGCTTGTACCACCCTTGTCCAGGCTTGTAGCACCCATGTGGTGGCCTGTAGCACCCATGACCAGGCTTGTACCACCCTTGTCCAGGCTTGTAGCACCCATGTGGTGGCCTGTAGCACCCATGACCAGGCTTGTAGCATCCGTGTGGTGGCCTGTAGCACCCATGGGTGGTTTCTAGCACCCGTGTCAAGCTTGTAGTACCCATCACCAGGCTTGTAGCACCCATATGGTGGCTTGTAGCACCCTTGACCAGGCTTCTAGCACCCATGTGGTGGCTTGTAGCACCCTTGACCAGGCTTGTACCACCCTTGACCAGGCTTCTAGCACCCATGCCAGGCTTCTAGCACCCGTGTGGTGGCTTGTACCAGCCTTGACCAGGCTTGTAGCGCCCATGTGGTGGCTTGTAGCACCCATGTCAGGCTTCTAGCACCCATGTAGTGGCTTGTAGCACCCATGACCAGGCTTGTAGCACCCTTGACCAGGCTTGTAGCACCCATGTGGTGGTTTCTAGCACCCGTGTCTAGCTTGTAGTACCCATCACCAGGCTTGTAGCACCCATGCCAGGCTTCTAGTACTGGTGTGGTGGCTTGTACCACCCCTGACCAGGCTTGTAGCAGCCATGTCAGGCTTGTAGCACCCATGTGGTGGCCTGTAGCACCCATGACCAGGCTTGTAGCATCCGTGTGGTGGCCTGTAGCACCCATGCCAGGCTTGTAGCACCTGTGTCAGGCTTGTATCATCCATGACCAGGCTTGTAGCACCCATGTCAGGCTTCTAGCACCTGTGTGGTGGTTTGTACCACCCATGACCAGGCTTGTAGCAGCCATGTCAGGCTTGTAGCACCCTTGACCAGGCTTCTAGCACCCATGCTAGGCTTCTAGCACCCATGTGGTGGCTTGTAGCACCCACGTCAGGCTTGAGGCACCCATGTCAGGCTTGTACCACCCATGTGATGGCTTGTAGCACCCGTGTGGTGGCCTGTAGCACCCATGACCAGGCTTGTAGCACCCGTGCCAGGCTGACAGCACCTGTGCCAGGGCGGTAGCACCCATAGCAGGTTCATAACATCCATACCATGCTTTGCAGCACCCCTGCCGTGCTTTGTAGCACCCGTATGAGGTTCACACCACCCATGCCAAGCTCACACCACACATGCCAAGCTCACACCACCCATGCCAAGCTCACAGCACCCATGCCAGCCTCATCACATCCATACCAGTCTCACAGCACCCATTCCATGCTTTTGGCACCCAAACCACCCGTTCCACACCCGTAGCACCCACGCCATGCCCACCACACCCCGTCCCCCCCGTCCCCCCTCGGGCAGGACACCACCACTCCCAACCCCGTGCCGTGTCACCGCCGATTGGTGCCGGGAAGGGGTCACCCCCTCTCGTCCCCCCCCTTCCCCGTGCCGATAAGAAACTGCCGGCTCAGCTGGG